TCAGATGAGCTGCCTGCAGCCCCATCCTGCTTCCCACCAGGGCCCTGCAACCATGCATTGTGGCCCTGAGTCCCAAGCCCCAGGCACTGCCCCAGCCCTACCCAACTCCCTCCTTCCTTCCCTCCCTCTCTATGGGAGCCTTAATCCCCCCCACCCACCACTTACCTGTGGGAGCTGCTCTCCAGGCTGCCTGGGGCCATGTGCATATACATACATATTGCGCCCCTGCCTTCCTGCCTTGCCACTACTTCCCAGCCCCCTGCAGGTTTGAACTCTGCCAGCCTGCAGAGAGCTCTTTGCAAAACTGCAAAATCTGCAGGGTTCTCCAGTAAAATGAGAAATCCCGGTTTGCCTCTGGTAAGAAGTAAAATCATGATTTACTTTGTTTTTCCATGGGAAACGGAAAACCTGGGTCCCTGGTAATCCATGTAGGAGCACTGCCATTGATTGGGGCCAATGTACTGGGCACTGTTCAAAAACACAAAAGAAATAAATGGTTTCTGCCACAAAACAGTTTATTTCTGAATAACAAAACTTAGTGTTAACTTTTTTGCCAATGTAAAATGGTGTGGCTCCATTAAAATCAATAGCGCTCTTTTGATTTTGCCAGCTGGGGATAAAACCTTAAACCTCTTGTGTTTTTAAATTGGAAAAGCCTTTTTTGATATACTGGTATATCTTACCTAATTTCAACACATTTATCTATTTTCTACACGTGGTTTTGGCAAGATGACGCATCTGATGTTGAATTGTTTCCTTTTCGCTTGTAGTCTGAAGCTAATATGCCAGAATTTGTGACAAGTTACGCCAGAGACCCTTTCAATTTAAAGTTCAAATCACAGAATTTAAACACAGGTAAGTCTTTTCTAACACAGAAGTTAATTGAACCAAGGATGTTTAATATACATTCAGGCTAATTACAGACACTCAAAAAGCCCACAACAGAACAGATCCAATCTACACAGATTTGTCTAAGCTGCTTAGATTGAATCAGGAGTGATGGGAACACACATTTGCCCTTTGGTGGGGGCAGACGGGCAGATGCCTGCACTAGCTGAGGCCAGAAGGTGGGGGCTCCACTTGCACACCCTCCAGCATCCACATGCATGCCTCCCAGCATGCCAGAGATTGCCAAGGGCAGCTGAGCCTAGCCAAAAGGGGCGGTCCCTTTTTTGGCTATTGGCATATGCCCCAACCCTCCGCTGTCAGCCACAGGGAAGGGGGGAGCCAGCACCAAATCTCTCTCCTGACCTGTCCCTTGCCAGAGGTCAGCTACCAGTGGTGGCAGGGGACAGGGAAGGAGAAGAAAGTGGAGGCTTTTGCTGCACAGACCCCCCAGCTGTTCTGGCTCAGCTTTTCCCCATTCCCCCTCTGACCTCCTGACAGCCAGAGCCCCCACCCTGCTGCCCCAGGCTGCCCCCCACCCTGAACCAGCAATCTGGGGGGCCCCACATGGCAGGGAGCTCCATTTCCCTTCTCCCCCACCCCTGCTGTTCCCGATATGGTGGACAGCCGGACTCTGAGCTGTGGCTCCTGTTTGCAACTGTCAGGTGGTCAGGACAGGTCGGGGAATGGATGCCCCTGCTGTATGACCCCCCAGCTGTACTGGCTCAGGGGGGGTCTAGGGTAGGGGTCTCTGCTTTGCCCACTCCCCACCCCCTACTGCTGCCAGCTTGCCCACTCCCCACTCCCTACTGCTGCCAGCTTGTGGTGGGACAGGGCTGTGGAGTGAAGCTGTGCTGGCCAGGTGGGCCAGGCAATGGGGAAGTGGGGAAGCCCCTGCTGCACAGCCTCACCCCAGCCATGCTGATTGGGGGAGTGGAGTGGGGACAGATCCCCCCTACACCTGGTTCAGCAGAGAGGTGCAGGCAGGACCCAGGGCTGGGAACCAGAGGCTTTGCTGCCGTAGCTCTGTGACAGCCCAGGGGCAGGGCTGGCCCAGCCCTTGGCCACAAAAGGAAGCTGAGAGGGGATCTGGTGGCCATCTACAAACTGGCCAAGGGGGACCAGCAGGCTATGGGAGAGTCCCTGTTCCCCCAAGCACTACCTGGAGTAACAAGGAATAATGGCCATAAGTTGACAGAGAGTAGATTCAGGCTAGACATCAGGAGGCACTACTTCATAGTCAGGGCGACTAGGATCTGGAACCAGCTTCCAAGGGAAGTGGTGCTCGCTTCTACACCGGGGGTCTTCAAAAGGAGGCTGGATAGTCACCTGGCCAGAGTCATTTGACCCCAGCATCCTTTCCTGCCTGTGGCAGGGGGTCAAACTAGATGATCTGCTTAGGTCCCCTCCGACCCTACCAACTATGAAACAGCAGAACAACATGGACCAAGGCTAGCCCAGTCACCCTGTGAGTTGGTGGAGGGGAGCCAGCTGGAGAGCTGCAAAGGCTCCTGGGATGCCAGGGGACTGCCGCCTAACTTGAGTCAGGAGGGGATCTGGGACAGAAGTTTGATAGAGTAGTCTAACATAAACAGTTCTTCCTACTCTTTTTAGGTCCTTTTATTATGAACTTATGAGCATATATTATCCAGCTGCTTCCCTGTCATTGCAATGGCAGTATCTCCATATCCCCTGCTTTGGCCTATGGCATATTATAGGATGGTCTTGATGTTCCAGGTATTGTGCCTTGTAGCTGGAGGTGAGAGTAAGAAGTCACAATATTGGCAATTCCTTTGGTTTATAATTGCCTGTCAATACAGGGGTCAGGATTCAAATGGTCCAGGAAGTGCCTTTCAGTCCTAGGTCCCTATGACTGAGAGGTGTCCAAAAGAGCCAAATTTGACACCCTATGGAGGAATAGTTACTGGTATGGTCCCCAGTGGAGGTTAGGAAGCCCAAGAAAGGATTATACCAGAGCACTTGCCAAATACTGGGCAGTCCCTGCTTGGTGCAGCTGATCTGTACAATTCATGATATTTAATGGATTTGAACTCCATATGCATTGTCTTTATTATGCAGGTGCCATCCAGTGTTGTCCTTAGCTTTGTTACAGTACTCGGATGTAAAGAAGGAGGAGTGCTTTTACTGTAACTAACGTAGCTGCTAACTACTATAAGCATGTGTTACTTGCAATTAAATAATTACTGGTAATCAAGTGGCTACAGTATGTACACACTGTACCAATGGTTTGGGCGAGATGGTTATTTTTTAAAATGCATATATTTTTTCACTCCTGTTTCTGGGATTCTCTTCCAAACTTCCATCTGCTGTAGGCCCAGATTTCCAAATTCTAATAATTCTTGAGCTACTATTGATAACAGGATAGTCTGCAGAGCCTGGACCATCTAATAGTAAGTTGTTTGTTTAATTTCTTCAGTTTACAGACTGGAACCACTGATAGAAAAACAAAGAGATGTTGACCGAAGATTTGTTACTTACAAGCCTCGTGAATGCAAGTGGGATTCCAGGTTAATTCTACCAAAGAATCCCTGGCCACCCAAATCTGCCTCATTTACGGTTAGTTGTATTTTGAGCCAAATAATATGCCTTTATGTTGCTGAAAAGTTTTACTCCTGACCTGAACTGATTTCAAAAGGTTTTGAATCATGCCCTTAGTGGTGGGCAGATGATTGTTCCTAGAGAGAGTAAGAACCACAACAACTAGACTAGCAGTTCATTCCATCTCTTAGAATAGAGCAGGGGTCTGCAACCCCCAGGACATGTGCCAAGCATGGCATGCAAGGCCATTTTGCTTGGCACACCGCCGCCAGCCCAGGCTCTAAGAGGCTGCTGCCAGCCATGGAGCCCAGGCTGCTCCCAGCAGGTGGCTGAGGGTCTGCAAGCCCTGCTGCAAGGAGACTGGGCTCCGTGGGCCGGTTGCAGCTGGGAGGCTGCAAACAACTGCTTCAGGCTCCAGCATGTTGGCACTCCGGCACCTTCCAAGGTAGATGTGGGTTTTTTGGCATTCCAGCCAAAAAATGTAGCCTACCCCTGGAATAGAGTTTTGTCCCTGGGGGAGGGTTGGCTATGGGACTCCCACTTATGAGAGTAGGACCTGAAATTATTGAAGGATGCTTTAAAAGTGTAACTTTTACTGTACAAGTATACAACACTGTACATAGCGATGATGTAAACTTACCTCTCCCTACTGCCAAGGACGCCATGCACAAAAAAATGCTCAGTGGGGCCCAAAATCTCTGTGCCAGATGTAGGCTATTTCAGAAGGATTTCAGAGAAGAAATATTTGTGATGGCTCATAAACATAAACTAAACATTTAGTGATGAATTCTTTAGATATGAAAAGAATTCTTGGTTCACGCACTCAGCTACCATTAATGTTAATAGAGACTTTGCAAATGCATTGCTTTAAAGAAATGGTATGAATAGCAAATGAACTAAGTTATGAGTTTATCCTTTTGGAAGAATGAGGAAGATGGATGTTTCTGTACCTAATACATTTGTATCTATATAATAATAACAATAGTTTCCATATCTAAATGTAGTAAGTACTGAATTTGCACGTACCAATCAGGTGCTTAGACATACATTCAGAGCAGGCATAACCAGCTATTTTAGCACCCTGGGAAGAGTGGGGCTTGTGCTGAGCATCGGAGAGGTAAGGGGCATGGGGTTGCCAAGCAAGTATTACTTGAACCTGTAGACTCAAAGACCTGGCTGCTGCTGGCACAGTTCAGGTTCACCCTCAGGTGCTGCCATGACACAGCATCAGATTTGTCCCTCTCACCCACCCTCAGTTATGCTGTTGGTTTGGAGTATGTCTACACCATGTCCTTGGCTTGATCTTGGACTAGCTTGCCCACCTGCTCCCTCCTTGCTTGTGCCAGACTTAAAAATGTGGTAGTAAGGACACACTGTGGTGTTCCCACAAGCCTCTCTCAAGCATGTTGTCAATCAACATCTTCAAAGTGGGTGTAGTGTGCCCCTGGAATGACTTACGTGCTGTATTCCTAGATTTGGTGCATGCAAACAGGAGCAAGTGGGTGGGTCTTGCTTGGGATATCTCTCTCAGGACACAATGAAGATGTTATTTAGACACATCCTTTCATAATTGCTGCCTGATTCACATGTGAAGGCATGTCTGTGGGTCTTCAGCTCACTCCTTAGACATGTTAAAAATATTCTAATGTCAGTGGCCTCTCATCTATTTAATTGCTCTAATTTGTTTCTACTTCTAATTCTGTTGTTAGAGACACAAAAGGCGGCGTGGTGCCTACACTGCATTTCTAGATCGTGTGGAAGAAAGGTTAAGTAACATCTGGCAACATGGGTAGGTGAGGACTTAGTATTCTTGTGTCATTAATACACTGTATTTGGAGGACCAAATCATGGTTGCTAGTGCAGAGCAGTTCATAGATGTTAGGGTTGGAAGGGACCTCAGTAAAGAGCGCTGGGGTGAGATGACCCCAGCTAGGTGCTTGTCCAGTCTCCACTTGAAGACCCCCAGGGTAGGGGAGAGCACCACCTCCCTTGGAAGCCCATTCCAGGTTCTGGCAACCCTTCCTGTGAAGAAGTTCTTTCTAATGTCCGACCTAAATCTGCTCTCTATCAGTTTATGGCCATGGTTTCTAGTTACTCCAGGGGGTGCCCTAGTAAATAAAGCATATCCTATTCCCTGCTGCCTTCCCCTGATGAATTTATAGGCAGCCACAAGATCATCTCTCAGTCTTCTCTTGCAAAGGCCGAAGAGGTATTGGTCCCTCAGTCTCTCCTTGTAGGGTCTTGTCTGCAGGCCTCTGACCATACAAGTGGCCCTTCTCTGAACCCTCTCAAGATTCTTCACATCCTTCTTGCAGTGCAGCACCCAAAACTGGATGCAGTACTCCAACTGCGGCCTGACCAGTGCTGCATAGAGGGGAAGCATCACCTCCCTGGACCTGTTCATCATGCATCTGCTAATGCATGATAAAGTGTGGTTAGCCTTGTTGATCACTTCATCACATTGCCGACTCGTATTTCATCTTGGAGTCAACTATGACTCCAAGATCCCTTTTCACTGCTGTGCTGCTGAGAAGGTCACCCTCCAGCCTGTAAGTGTCAGTGGTTCATTTTCCCTAGGTGCAGCACTTTGCACTTGTCTTTGTTGAACTGCATCCTATTTTGTTCTGGCCATTTTTCCAACCTGTCCAGATCTGCCTGGATCCATTCCCTATCCTCTGGTGTGTTAACTTTGCCCCATAATTTGGTATCATCTGCAAACTTGGACAGGGTGCTCTTCACCCCCTCGTCCAAGTCACTGATGAAGACATTGAATAGCACCAGCCCAAGGACCGAGCCTTGCAGGACTCCATGGCCCACATCTTTCCAGGTCAATATCGACCCATCCACCACCACTCTCTGGGTGCAAACCCTAAGCCAATTAGCCACCCACCTGAGCATGTAATAATCTACATCACAGCCTGTCAGTTTATTTACGAGAACAGAATGAGATACCATATTAAAGACCTTCTTAAAGTCTAGGTAGATGACATCTACCTCGACTCCTGAGTCCTAAGCATTTTGTGACCTAGTCATAAAAAGAAACAAGGTTAGTCAGGCAGGATCTACTTGCAATGAACCTGTGCTGATTTCCTTTCAGCATTATTTCCCCTGCTGGGCTCCCACAAGTGGGATCCTTAATCATTTTTTTCCAGAGTTTTCCCAAGGATAGAGGTGTAACTGGCCTATAGTTTCATGGTTTCTCCTTCCTCCCCTTGAAAACAGGGACCACATTGGCCCTTTCCCAGTCCTCTGGGACCTGACTGGAGCAAACAGCTGTGCCAGCAGCTCCACTGTGACACTGGTCAATTCCTTCAGCACCATTGGATGAAGTTCATCCAGGCCTGCTGATCTGAACACATCCAGCCCCTCCAAGTGCCCCTTCACTAAGTCGGTGCTAACAGTTGGTGGGCTGGTGCCCCTCCTGTGTCTGTCAGTGATCCAACTGGGAGATTTGTCTTGGTCTGTGTCTGGGAATACAGATGCAAAGAACTCATTCAAGAGCTCAACTTTGTTCACCCTCTCTGTCACCAATTGCCCTAGTTTGTCCTGTAGGGGTCCTATGCTACCCTGCACCTTCCTTTTGCTCCCTGTATACCTGAAGAAGGGCTTTTTGTTGTCCTTAATTTTTGTCACCAGCCTAAGTTCTAATCCTGCTTTGGCCTTCCTAACTGATTCCCTGCAGGTGCGAGCCAGGGAGGTATACTCCTTGGTAGCTACCCCGTTTCCACAGCCTGTATACCTCTTTCTTTGCCCTTAGGCTTTCCCGGACTTCCCTGTTCAGCCAAGAGTGCTTCTTGGCCCCTTTTCCCCGTTTTATGTGCAATGGGATTGTCTACTTCTGCCCCCATAGGATTGCTTCATTGAGAAATGACCACTCTTCCTGGGCCCCCATTTTGCCAATGCTCTTGAGCTTTAGCACCTCACTAATTAATCTCCTGAGCACACTGAAGGTAGCCTTTCTGAAGTCTAGCTCTTCAGCCCTGCTGGTTAGCTTACCCACCCTTCGTCGGATAGTGAATTTAATCAGTCGATGGTCACTATCTCCTAGGTTATATTGTACCTGCAGATTCCCCACCAGATCATCCCCTGTAGCTAACACCAAGTCCAGCAAGGCATTTCTCCTAGTGGGATCATATACCTCCTGTGTTAGATGGAGGTTCTGTATGCGGGTTAAGAACAAACGTGAGCAGTTAGATTTGGCTGACTGCTCCTCCCTGCAGATGTCAGGGTAGTTTAGGTCACCTATGACAACCATATCTCTCAATCTCTGAGAGCTGTCTGGAGAATTCCAGGTCTATCTCATCCTCCTGGTGTGGCAGTCTACAGTAGATCCCCACTACCAACTCCCTTTCCCCTCGATCCCCTGCCAGTTATGATGCCGTCATTTGTTTCCTATGAAACTGAGTATAGAGCTGCTTGGAGATTGTCAACAGTAGATGGCACTCCTGACCGGAAAAGAGTGGGGGCAGTGAATGGTGGTAAAATAGCATGCTGTTTGGGTATTGATGTAGAAATCCTCAGGAATGGGATGTACCCACAAACTGTTGTGCTACTTGCACAGGAAAATTGGGACCCCTGCACATAGATACTGCTGAATGAGGTGGTATTATATGCCTGTCCAATCAAAGTATCCATTATCATGCAGGCTTCGCCCATCTTCCAGCAGCGCATGGTTTCTCAGTCACTGTAGACTGCAACATTATGTAGAGATATGCCAGGTAGCCATAACTGAATTAACTTGTGGTACTGGGAGGAGTCTACCTGTAGTAGTATGGAACTTAATAGAAGTAAAAAAGCAGAGTAATTTGGACTATATTGAGGTCCCTGCTGTTACAGCTAAACTGTAGTATCCAAGTTATACTGTTTAAAGGTAGTTCAAGTATTTACACTCAGAGCTGCATATAGATGTACATAGATATAGATCTGCAGCATACCTAAAAGCTGTAGCTGAACCTTTAGAAAGTGAAGGTGGTTAATCTGACAATATATCTCCTGATTTCATAGTTTCATAGTTTTTAGGGTTGGAAGGGACCTGAG